CTTCCTACACTCCTTATTGATAAAATGCTTCAGGTACATGCTACTTTCAATCCCAGACTCTCTCTTCCAATGTTTTTTCAGCTTTTCAGATTGTGAGGCTAAAAGCTGTTTAGGTACTCTTAATTTGGACACCTGCCATTAGCATTTATAATCCACCTTGTTACACTGAGAACACAGAAGGGATTCTTGGGCCCAGCAGCATCAACCTTGGGGAGGCAAGGAAGGAGCCGGAGCACCAGTAAGGGGCAGGAAAAATGGGGAGCTGAAAATCATATCCCCCTTTGCCCTTGACCATCATGGCATTGAAAAGCTTGGGTGGATTTGGACAGGCCTGAAATAGGAATCCGCTTGCCATGGTGGGAGGCATGAGCAGTTACCCCAGGTGATCTTGAGGAGAAACACTGAGCCTTTTTGTCTTTATAAAAACCGAACCCGTGCTCTAATTAAAAGCTGAGTTGAATTTGTATCCTTAGTAATTATAAAGGTTCCAACCAAACTCATTTTCTGGCCTTTGGACTCATGGAAAGAAATTTTCAAGGTTCAGCAATGTTTGTTTGTTTTTGGTGTGTATATGTTTCTATATTTATTCTCTTCAAATTAGTCAAGAAGCAAACAGTATTACTTATTAAACACCTTTGTGAAACAGCATGGTGTAAGAAATATGCTAAATGACTTGCTTAATTTACTAATCTCATAGATATTTAAAAACACACACAAATGTGCCATGTCGTGGTACCATCTCTATTTTATTTGGGGCAGCCTGCTTTGGATATTAACAAGGGAAAAAAGAAAGATCTTTATTAGCATCTTAAGGAACAGAAACCAATCAACTTCTTAGTTTTTTTTTCTAAACCAGTGCCAAAAGAGCTTGTTCATCTCCTTCTTATCTGCCTAAGAACTGACTGGTGCCATACAAAATAGTCAAGAAGAGGTAGGCCCTAGAGAGAGAGGAAATGTTATACTTGTGCGCGTATCCTTTCTTTTCTAAACCAGTCATAAAACCTTTATTTGACCAGCACATACAAGGTTTGAAGAAAGAGGGGGATGTGAAGAGAAAAACTAAAGGTGAAACATTAATGGCAAAGGAGTTTATGTGGGGGGTCACAGTGTTCTTACCAGAACGAAGCTGTTCTGTGTGTGCAACAAAGAGATTCTTTGCAGGCTGGATCCAGTGTATCAGGTTCCTTATGGGTATGGTGGACAGAAAAGCACTGAGTTCTATTTTGGGAGCAGATTAAGTGAGAGCAATGATACTTAGATCATTTCTGGAATTGGAACATGGATTCCTCATCAAATTCTACATGGGAATATGAGAAGCAAGCTCTGCATGTGACAATCACAGAGAGTATAACCTTCTTGAAGGAGGCCTCCTCTTAAAATGAAGAAGTTTAATTCCGTGTTCATGGATTATTCCCATTAGGTTTAGGTGAGGATTAAGGATAAGGAATCAGCTCTCTTGTAGAATCTAGCCCAAGGGTGGGCAACCTTTTTGTGAGTGTGTGCCAAAACCAGCAAAATCTCTGATTCAAAATTCTTCTGCGTGCCAACCTTAATTTTTTGAGAACATGTTACGCCTACTTGATATCTCTTAAGGTGTATGTATGTGAAGAACCTTGAAGAAATAATAAAATTCACTCAAGCGACAAAAACACAGTATATGATGATGAAAAATACATTATTTTTTAATGTATACGTGTAAACTGATAGTCTCACCTCCTTTCTACTGCCATCATTCCAGTAAGTGTGATATATAGAGCAATTCATAAGTAAATGCTTTTGACACTTGGTCTTTCAGAGAGAAAAACTCTGGAAGGAAATTTGGCTATTTTCTTTCTAAGTTATGGACTGTCTTGGCATTTGATACAGTACCTTCTCCTTCCAGTGAATGTGCAGCCATTCCAGTTCTTTCCATGCTATTAGGAAGTAGTACTTTCAGGATAGTATTCAGAAATACAATGGGGTCACAGGACACATACATTTAATGTGCACATGGCTTCAGAATCTAACTCCTGTGAAGGTGAGGCCAATGCCTAACCCACTGACGTGAGAGTAGCAGCTGTTCAATGGGCCACAGAGGAGAGACCCAGGTGGGTGGCCATGCACTTCTCGGTGGTTTTTGAAAGATGTGAGCCATCACTCAAGATTTAGAGTAATAGCCAGCAACTATTTCCTGAGTACTTACTACACATGCGCCATCACACCCTAATTGCTTTCATAACAGCTTAATATTAAAACGGAGTGGAGTTAAACTTGCAGGCAAGGAAAAACACTTTGGGATTCTCTGTTCTTTTTCATTCACCCTAGGAAGTTGAGAATTATCTTAAGGAAGACAAAAGGGAATGCTGTGACAATTGCATACAACAGACTCTCCCTTGATTTCTTCCTTTTGTGTAGCTCAGTGGCCCTCAGTCCTAAATGTGACTATATATTACTGTGAGCACTAGTTTACATATACTCAACTTTAAGTGTGATTTAAGGGAATTCATGGTCATTGTGAATCCAACAGATTTTTGCTTTAAGCATTAACTTTAAAACTAACCCTTGATTAACAAGAGACTCTGCTTTATTCATACTAAGCAGTAAGAATTTAAAATATAAAACAAAATTCCAGAAAGTGGTTTTTGCCAGGTGGTATTTCCATGTGTTAGGGAATGACCAAGAGAGTAATTCACATCATCTTTTCTAATAGCATCTTGGCTCTGTTGCCACCTGCAGGGGGAAAATGGATTAGTTGAGGAAGAGTTCTTCAGGTTCAAAGTTGCTTTAGTAAAGCAATTTCTCTTTTAGATAAAGTCCTATATAGCTAAGAGACATCACTCAACCTTTCTCTGTATCTTTCCTCACAGGTAAGAAGGAAAGGTAGACATTTATTTATAAGAAGTAAGTTTTAAAATCCTACCTTTTAAACCTAAGATTAACAGGCTTCTTGGAGATGTCCCTTCTTTCTTGGCCTCCCATAGTAAGTCTTTGCCACATGCTGCCATTGCCCTTGGTTTTAGAGCTGGCCCTCGGGGCCAGACAAATTGAGTGCAAATAGCAATCTGCCACTTAGTAGAGGTGTCACTTTGTGCGATTTATTTAACCTCTCTGGACTGAGTTTCCCCAGTCGTATAATGGGGAGAATGTCTAGCTCCCTCCCTGGCTGTGAAGGACAATGTGCTTGAAACTCAGCAGACTTTCAAAAATATTTGTCAAGTGATGGAAAATAATTGTGAAACAAACAGTATAAGAGGAGCACATAATTCGCATTAAACTGTAATTATTATTATCATTACTTGCTATCAGCTATTAAATAAATGGGAATGATTTTTTTTTGTTTTAAAAATATATTTCTATTGATTTCAGAGAGAGGGAGAGAGAAAAACATCAGTGATGAGAGAGAATCATTGATTGGCTGCCTCCTGCATGCCCCCTGCTGGAGCTTGAGCCTGCAACCAGGGCATGTGCTCTGACCAGGACGAACCCTGACCTCCTGTTCATGGGTTGGTGCTTAACCACTGAGAAACACTGGCTGGCAGAAATTATTTCATTTTTAAGCATTCTAAGTAATAAGCAGAAAGAGCAGATTCATGAGACAGGAGCACATTGGTGAGAGAACAGAATATCAACATATATGTAATATGACAGTACTTGAGAGATTTCATTTATAAATTCAATTTTTTCCAGTTCCAGTTCTGCCATTAAAACTCACTCCTAAGGTGGTGGCCAGGGCAGGCATGGGTGCGCTCACACAGCTCCACAGCTGTATCTCTTATATTTGGCTTAAACTGTGTCCCTCCCCATCAGCCCAGCCGGCTCCCCTGGTCTCTCTCAGCTCTCCGTGGTGCTAGACTCACAAGGCCATCTGCTCTCATTGCTCCTGTGGGGTCCTCCTACTCCACCTGGTAGGCTCCAGCTGAGCTCACTGGCTTCCAGCTCAGCAGTCAGGGAGGGTGGACTTCAGGGCCCCAGCCGTCAGTGGCACTGTCAAGCTTACTGGGGTAGGTTCTCCAGACTGGTATGAAGCATCCTGAACGGCTGCTTCCTCCAGTAGTGTCAGAGGGCAACATGGCAAGAGCTCCCTTGCTATTCAGCTTTTCTTCACCTTACCTAACTCATCCTGCTCGCCAGGCTCAAGTTCAGAGATGGGCTATGAAGAGACCCATGAAGACCACTGTACTCTGCTCTCTTTCTCTCATGTTACCACAGTCCTCTTTTATTTCTTGTTATCATATACTCCTCTTTCATAATGCCCCAAAACATTACTCTATGTTAATTCTATAAACCAAATCCCCCATGCTTGTTTGTTGATCTGCTAATAAAGGAAGAAAATCAAAGAATTCAAAAATCTTCTCTCAAGACAATATCTTAGTTTGCAAAAAATATGTGTTTTTTTCTGCATAATCTATTTGTATGCTGGAAGCTAAATATTACCTTGCTTTTAATCTTTGTACTGCTTCAGATCCAAATTCTAATCTTCTCTGTAGAGAGATGAATGTCTATGGATGGAGTAGGCAGAAGGTCTTCTACTTGGATAGCCAAGGGCAAAAGCACATTAGTAAGTTTTTGGCTATTTCCCTGCAGTGTTTCAGTTTGAAAGTGCAATTTATTGGGACATTTTCTTTTAAGAATATTACAGAGATATTCAGGTTATGAAAGTCTGCATAATATTTTAAAAACATTTCATCCATTATTTGTATGCAGTTCAGAATGTGCAAATAGTAAACCTGGCCTTCTAAATTCTACACAGTTATAACTGTTGTCTAGGTACGTTCTCAATGTAAACTATTTTGGTGATTTTAAGGTGTTGACACTTATGTATGCTGAACTAAGCTGTGATCAGTTTCTCTAAATGGAGCCTTAAAACTATACAGCTCTTTTCCAAGACTAAACTTGTTGTTTTGGGTTTTGATTAAAATAATAAATTAAACAGACTGGCTTACTCGCTGGTATTTCATGTACACATCAATGTAGATTTTAAACTAGAAAAGCAGAAAATGAAAGTTTGCTTTCTTTGGCAGGCGTTTGATGTACTTGGAAGAGTCGAAGCTTACCTTAAGCTCCTTAAGTCAGAGGGTTTAAGTCTGCCTGTCTTGGCAGCGAGGCATGAGGAATTACACGGAGAAATTAAAGGCTGCACTGCTGATGCTTTGCAAAAGGGACAAGCCTTAATCAGCCAAGTGGACTCCTGCAGGTGAGTAAAGGCTATTTCTCCCTCTGTGCAACAAGCCTTTTCACAGTTTCCACAACTTGTTAAAAAATAAGTTGCATGATTTTTTTTCTGCTTCTGATGCTTTGCTACATTATGACATGGCTTAGAAGGATCTACTGGATTTTGGTCAGCAGTGATTCTGAACACAGTATTGCTCAGCCAGAAGTGAGGCCATATTCTGAGCCTGAGGACCTGAAGATGCTAAAGCTTTCCCTCTATGAGTTTCTGAGGAGAGGAGAACAAAAGTGCAAAAGAAGAAACAGAGCGTTAGGTCTCAATGCTTTTTTCCCCTCCATGGTGGGTTTCTTCCCTTTTAATTCATGAGCCTGAAATCTACCCTGTTTCTTTTTTCCTCTCCAGAAAAAAACTAAAGCACCAGAATTCCTTTTCATCAATGACTTTGTAGCTCACTAAGCAAAAACCCCAAATAAAAGGAGACATTGTTAACAATAACAATGGCTCACGTTTACCGAGAGCCCATCATGTGCCAGGCACTGTGCCAAGCACCTCATTAATCCTCATAGCAACTCTACAAGGCACATACTATTAATGTTCAGCATTTACAAGTAACTGAGATACAGAGAAGTTAACAAACTTACAAAAGGTCACACAGCCAGTTAGTGGCAGATCCAGAATTTAAATCCATGTTAATGGGTCCTAGACCCCATGCTCCTCACCAGTATGCGTGGAATGATCATTTTTTATGAGCACATTTGGTGAGTGTATCAGTGTGAGTCTAGAGTTGAGTGGGAATGAGGAGAGAAAAGGAATGTGAGAAACAAAGAGAATAAAATGGGAAAGTATGAGGAAGAAGAGGGATTGGCTGACAAAAGAGATGAGGGTGTAGATATTGGCTAGGATGAAACGAAGGCAGGGCTTACATTTTGACAGAGAGACAAAAAGGTCTGTGCCAGTGGGTTAAGTCCAGTTTTTTATCTTCCATGTCCACAATCTTTGAAACTAAAAAAATTCAATTTGAGGAACAATGAGACAGGTGGAATATAGTAAAGTTATTCTATTTCTTTGTCCTGCTCGGTGCTAGATGTGTTTAAAAGTATTGATTGGGTAAGTTTGGGCTCAGGGAATTTTCCTTCCAGAAGACAATGTGAAGCCAGACAGATATTTAACCAGGGTTTGTGGTGGTTGCTATGGGACCATACAAAGCCAAGATCAGAAATGATTCAAGGCCTTCCAGGCATAGCCAAGAGCTGAGGCTATGAGAAGGGCAAATGGTTCTCTCCTTTGGAAAGCTAACAACAGTTATAGCTACTGCCGGAGTTTTACGGCGGTAAAGCTTCTTTTCTTTAGCTCCGTGCCATATGCATCAAGTAAAGTGTACACTTGGTCCTAGGAGCCCGAGTGTGCCCATGTTTGGCCCAAAAATGTGATACAAGAGCTGATTCCCTCCCCTCCCCTGGTAATGGTGAAGTCTCCCAGAATGTATAAATGAGAAGATACCCTATGAGGTGACACAGACACTTGTGCCTGGACTCAGGGTACATGCTGGACATGATGTGAGTCCTGAGTCATGTGTGACTGTATTAAGTAGTGGGGTCTCCAGTTATAACTGGGGAATGGTCCCATGTCAGTTCAGCAGGTGGGTCTGAAGCACAGACCGATGTTATTTCTCCATCCAGGCTACTCTTTGCTTATAGTGCTTTCCCTGGGTGTGGGCAGTCTCTTTTCACAACAGGTAGGTCAGGAGGTAGCCAAAGCCCCTTCCTCAGATCTCTGGAGATCTGTCTGTAGTGTGGTGTCCCAGATATTCTAGGTGCCTTGGCCTCCCCGAGGTCTGATCTCTGTCCCCTCAACTCAGCAAGACTTCTGGGCTCCCTTTGGGTTCTACTTCCCCGAGCTTTGATCTGGAAATTACCTTCCAGCCAATAAACTGATGCATGTACAAGCCCACCTCATTCATTTCCCTTCTCTCAGGGATCGCTGTCCTGTGCTATCTGTTGTGCAATGTCTGAGAACCATGGGTTCACATATTTTGTTTATTTTCTAGTCACTTAAGGTGTGAGGGTAACCCAGTCACTGCTTTTCTTGGCTAGAAACTGAAATTCCCTATTCAATTTGATGCTTAACTCCTGACATTGGAAAGCTTGTTTGCTAAACTTGATCCTGTTTGCTCTCCTCAGTAATGCTTTATTTTTAATACTTAGACATGAGAGAAATACTCTTATTTTATATTTTTATATTATATTCTATCTTTAGGGTATTAGTGACTGTTTTTGGCCATGTTTATTTACTTAGCTGGTCTCATTCTTTTCCTCTTCTTTGCTCTAGTCTAAATTTATTTATATATTTTTTAAAGAGGCATCTATAGTTCTATTCTTCAGGCTGCTGACTGAGCCTTAATAGAAAAAGCAATAGTTAGGGACCATTTCACGAAACTCTAATTAATGGTTAGGTAACTAGATTTAAAAAATAATTCATAGTATGGTTTCTGTCAATGTCCTAGATATATGAGCTTCTATAGTTGTTCCAAAGTGCTTGGTTGCCCTGAGATTTCACTATATTTTATTAAAAAATACTATTTCCGTTGTTGCAGGAGGAACTGAAGGTAAAGTAAAATTGTTACTTGGCAAAGGACATTTTTGATTCAGAAGGTAGATGTAGAATAGAAAGCCATTGAAAATCGAATTGAAATGCATTAGAATCTTAGTTGCAAACTAGAGCCATATGCAGCTCCTGACCTCGACCCCATGCATTCCGTTTGGGACTTGCTTCCCTTCCTCATCCAATGATTTATCTGTTCAATGACCTGAGTCACCATCACAGGAAAGAAGCAGAACCTAAGAAGGAGTTTTCAAGTTGCAGCCACTGCTGGAGGGAAGTGGAGTTTTGATTGGTGGCAATGGAGATAAATGTCAATTTCAACAGTGCCAAGTCCATGTTATTGAACATCACAATGGCTTCCTAGGCTTTTGAATGACAGCCACACTGCTAGAACACAAACCACAGAGGTTCCTACTACCAGATGTTTGAAAACTGGTATGGATAAGACACTTAAGAGTTACTGTCAAAGAGTTCTACTTCATGCATTTTGAGGGCCCAAACAATGTCATGACTTTTAAACTTATCTTCTGTGAACCCCAGTTTCCTCATCTGTAAAATGGAGCTATACATTTCATAGAGGGTTGGGTGTTTTGTTTTTATCTTCACCTGAGGATATGTTTATTGATTTTAGAGAGAGAGGAAAGGAAAGAGGAGAAGAGAGAGAGAAACATCAATGTGAAGAGAAACATTGATCGGTTGCCTTTCGTATGTGCCCCAAACAGGGATTGAACCCAAAACCTAGGTATGTGCCCTAACTGGGACTCAAACCTGCAACCTTTTGGTGTAGAGGACAACTCTCCAACCAAGGGAGCCACCTGGCCAGGGCATTGCGTTTTAAAATCAAATGAGATAACACCACTCTTGGCACGTAAAGAGTGCCCAATTAATAATTGGCTCACTTATTTTTTTTTTACTTTCTATACAAAGAGCTTTAAAAACTAATAAATACTGAGTCACATGGTTGTTTCAAATGATTACAATAGAGTCAGCTTCACCAAATCATATTCATTTTAGTAACTGGGGAAGGTTATATTTGAAATAGGACAGATAAACATTTATCTTAATGTAATAAAAGGCAGAATTTAGCATTGGGACAGAAAGGAATTTCAGAGACCCTTAGATCTGATTTTTTTTTTCCTTTTAATAAAAAAAACAGGTTCATTTATCTGAGTTCACATTTATCTGAGATTAAGCCTTCCAGTACATCCGAGACCTTTGCCATTTTTGCTCTGTAATTACTATCTTATTTGGAACAGGTCCACACTGTTTTCCTATCCTAGAATCAAACACCTATGAAGTTGGAGCAACCTCACAGGGAAATAATGGTTATTTAAATATTTCTTTACCTTTTCTATTTCCTCACTATAATCTATATATATATAAAAGGCTAATATGCTGTGTCTGACCATCCAACTGGTCGCTATGATGCACACTGACCACCAGAGGGCAGACGTTCAATCCAGGAGCTGCCGAGCTGCAGTGACTTGGCAGCAGCGGTTCTCGGGTGACGCATCCCAAAACCAGAGAGGAGAGAGTCCAATTCCTTGTGGGGTTACGTGATTCCACCTTCGGCCATGGGTTATGTTGTTGCTGGGGCACTGTTGACCCCAAATCTGGTTTACTGCACACTTGCATTTGCGTTCCACACCCTGTATGATAGCAACTTTGCAGAGTGCCCTCTTGCACTCGGGGACCCCTCGGGGGATGTCAGAGAGCCGGTTTCGGCCCAATCCCCACAGGCCAGGTCGAGGGACCCCACCTACCACAGAGACCCCACTCACTCCACAGATGCTGGGGAGAGACCGTGGGAGGTTGGCTCCAGGATGTGTCCGGCCCGTCTTGCCCAGTCCTGCCCCTCTGGCCACCTTCTAATTAATTTCCTTTCAATGTGCACTAATCCATGCACAGAGTCACTAGTCTGGTGATAATTCTGAGTCCTTAAATAGTTTGTAATCTTTACAGGGTATATCTGTCCCAATCCAAATACCCTTTACTTTGAAAGGCATTTTTGTGCATTCCTTTGCTCTTAGTTAGGATGCAAGTTACCTATAATAATAGGTGGTAATGGTTAAACTTAGACTGTCAGTGGAGTTGAAAGCTCCTGGCTTCTGGCCCTCCTCATCTCATCCTAGGCCTCATTTGGTATCACCTTTGAGCACTGAAACTAAAGATAGACCACAGGAATTCTGCATTTATTAAGCCACAGGAAGCTATAGCGATTGGAAGTGCTGGTTCAGAGACCTTGTGTGAGGGTGAAGTTTTCTATGATTGAACAAAACGAGGAACCTTTTTGTTAGTGTAACTTCCACCTCAGAACTCAAGACATGCAAACACCCAGCAAGACCAGGCCACCTGGTGAAGTATTCACTTCCCTTTTTCTGTGTACTGAAGTTAACTGAAGATTTACAAGTAAACTTGCTTCA